TATTATGTTTCAAGTTATTTTATTATAATATCACATTTTATTGTCTTCTTTCTATAATTTTTTTTTTTGAAACAGGGTCTCACTCTGTCACTTAGGCTAGAGTGCAATGGTGTGATCATGGCTCACTGCAGCCTTGACCTTCTAGGCTCAAGGGATCCTCCCACCTCAGCTTCCAGAGTAGCTGGGACCACAGGCATGTGCTACTATGTCTTAACTTTTTCGTAGAGACAGTTTCATCATGTTGCACAGGCTGGTCTCAAACTCTTGGACTCAAGTGATCTTCCCGCCTTGGCCTCCCAAAGTGCCAGAATTATAGACATAAGCCACAGTGCCTGGCTTGATTTTAGTGTGACATTCTAATAAAAGTAACTGGAGGGAGAATCCCCCTCAAAAAAATTTTTTTTTGAGACAGATTCTCGTTCTGTCACCAGACTGAAGTGCAGTGGTGCAATCTTGGCTCACTGCAACCTCCGACTCCAGCTTTAAGGGATTCTTCTGCCTCAGTCTCCTGAATAGTTGGGATTACAGGCACATGCCATCACACCCAGCTCATTTAAAGCTTGACCCAATAAATAAACTAAATTAACCTCCTATACTGAGAATTCCCCCCAAAATATTTTTTAGGCATGCTCAATCCAGTAAATAAACTAAATTTACTTCCTGTACTATCTCTTATTAGTGCAACTATTTCAGATCTTTCTCACATTTCTTCTGGATTACTTAATTAGCATCCTGTTTTTCTTGCCTCTAGTCTCCATCCCAATACATACTTTGGGCACATGCTTCAACACTGCTATCACATTTTCTTTTTGCCATCAAAATCTGATCAAGCCATTTTGGTTAAATTCAATTCTCCCATCTCATCCCGTCCCGTCCCGTCCCGTCCCCTTCAGCATAAAATGCCCTCAGTATCTCCAGTCATGTCTTTAAAATCTATCCTGTCTCCTCATATTTCCGTCTTCTCATTCTCTCCTTGCTGCCCTGTCCCTTCCACTTCAATCTCCCAATACCGCAGCCAAAGTGTTTATAGTCTCAAAAACTTATCAAGTTATCTCTGAGACATTGCATGCTGTTCCCTCGGCTTAGGAGCCTCCCTTACTATTGTTTTTCCAACTTTGCTCCCTTTTTTCCATTTGTTTTAATACAACTCTCTTCCTCAGAGAAACTTTCCCTGACCACCCCCAGCTGAGTTCAGTACATTAATAGTGCTCTCTGCACACTTTTATGTCACTGAACCCACTCCACGATGTCTGATACATACTGGTCTCCTCAAAAGACTTTCCTACGATGATATCTGTCTTGTTGTATAGGTGACATCTGTGTCTTTGTTTATGTATCTTCAGTGCCTAGCACATAATAGTGGTTCGATATTTTTTAAATAGAAAAATCGGAGTGATTCTAACAACAGATCTCTACTACATTAACATTCTTTGTCCTAAGCTTGAAAGACTCCCACTTGCCTATTCAGACCTAAGCATCACTGACTGACAAACTTGAATCGCACGCAGTCTCTTTATCCTGCCTCATCCTACACCAACAGCAGTCTTACAAAGATTATTATCTTTTTTTTT